CAAACAATTGTCCATATTTGGAGTTTGAGCTGATTGATTTTCTTGAACTTTGATATAAAGAGTCCAAATATAGTTCCCTTTAACTGTAAAAATCTTAAGGAAAAAAAACAAATTGGGATTTTATAATTTGTATTGTTCCAAAGACATGCTCTACAAATTAACTGTGTTCTCGGGCCGATTCTAATTATATTATGGTTGTCCCCTTAGCATCAACCTAGGTTAAACAAATATAGGACAATTGAATTTAATTTCCAAAATATATCGATCAACGTGTTTTGGTAAACACTCCTGTAAAGTTTCAAAATATCTCAGTTTATAGATTTTTGAAAATTAATCAAGTAGAATCACAATTTTCTTTCAACATGCTGAGCCGATCATTCTCCTCATTCGATATAGATCAAAGAACGATTGTTGATTGGATGACTCTCAATTCATCATTCCGGCAAAGCTAGGTTCAAATTGGCAAAGAGAGTTCAGAGAATAGTATTATTATATACATTCAATTTAGCTGCAATGTTAATAATTAGGTACCAGGCTTATAATTTGATCCGCGCGATTCGTCTACATAAGACTTATCAGTGACGCTCAGATCAAAATAGTTAGAAAGCCAAAAAAGTAAAAAGTTGAAGAGCATCGACAACGCAAAATTAAAAATAGTTGTGTCAAATATGGCTAAGGTAATCTATGCCTTGGATAAGAAAATCCTTAGTATTTCGAATAATGTGCCATCCTTTTCGCCATGCATATTGTTTATAGTAGGACGTCTGTAAATCGTCAATTTTCTATATTTAAGTACAGTACTTTTATAAGAGAAATGTTTTTATATTTTACCAATAAGAATCATATGCAGTATTGTCTCAGCGAATACCCAGTGGAAATGAAACAATTGAAAGAAACGTTTTTATCATTGAAGGTAAAAACTGCATTTTCTGCTTTCTAAAGACATGCTTGTAAAGTCCATAAATTTTATGCATGTGTGCAATAAAAGATTTGTGTATGATATTTACGTATTCAAACAAAATTTCTAGAATGAAGCTAAAAGATAGTATGCATCTTTGATTAACGACAAATATTCATAAAACAACTAATTTTCTAGATGTTCAAATACCTTTGGATCTTTAAGATGAATATAAATGAATGCAATTGAAAAGTTCACGTAAAAATAAAAGATTCATTTTCTAAACGATTAAATTTGTATTTTTGCACAGGCAAACAATCTGAGAATTGGTAGCCTTTCTTTTTCAAAGAAATTCAGGTACATCTTTTATATAGTCAAACTTGTGTTGAGCCCACAACTTAGTCTTTTCAATGTATAAAAAAAATTATTTTTAATATCACTGCACATTTCAGTATTTAAAGATAAATATTAATAAAGTATAATAAAACTTCACATTCATGGAAAAACAAATATGAAGGTCAAATAAAAAAACTTTGTAATAAATCATCATCACAGAATATATGCTTGAAAAACAAAATATTATTTGGCTACTATAATTGACAGAACTTTAAATGCATTTCTTATTAGTAAATTAACCTGAGTTTCTTTAATACATACTCGTTATTACATTAACGCATTTCAATTGTCCCATTCATGAAATGTGCTCTTAAAATAGAAGTCGAACTTCTATGGCATGGCATCCCCTGCAAATTATGGCAAAACCCTTAACGACAGATTTTACCGTCAGAGGGTAAATATTATTTCAGAAAAATATAAAAATGTGAGTGTTCATTTTTCAAAATACCATTCTTTTATAAAGAGAATGTATCACTTAAAATCCACACAACCATATCAATGATACGATTTCTTTATAAAAGAACGGTTTATTGAAAAATCTGATTGCAAGTCTATTTAGCATCTAAAATATGAAGCTTTCTTCAACAATGAAAATAGGTAAGAATGCTAGATACTAGAAGTGCAATGAGATGATTTAAGCTGTAATAATTCTCCTTGAAATCAACTTACGTTTCGGCAATATCGACAGCCTGTATGTATCCCTACAGGCAGCAGTTGAGGCCCTTTATCAGCAGAAATGGTCTTTGTTTGCTGTGGATCACAGAATATGGTCAAACTTAGCAAAACTGATACCAGGCTTATGATTTGGTCCGCCAAAACGTATTTCTTCTACACAAGACCCCTAAGCATGCTTGAATCAAAAGAATTGAAAGGCCTAAATCAAATACGATTGTAATGCATTAAAAACCGAAAATTCCTAAACATTGTGCAATATCTGGCTTATACAACATATGCGTTATAAACACAATCCCCTTTTTTCGATAATTCATATTTTATGAACGGTAAGTTTGCAGAAAATAAATGCATCATGTATAACTGATAGTTCATGTCAAAACAAAAGTGCTCGACTACTGAACTGGTAATACCTCCGTTGGGCGAAACTTCCACCAGCAGTGGCATCGACTCAGTTGTTGTAAAAACTTCTAAAATATACCCGGTTTATAATTTGGTTCAAAATACTTAGTAAAGATCCGTCTGAATTCATTTAATCGAAAAATTAATTACATTTACTGTTTCTTTGTTGATATTTTATAATTTATTCCCATTTAACAGATTACATCCGGGAAACTCTATACAAGAATTTACCACAGAAAAGGCATTTTTTGTTCTGTATGATTGAATAGCTATACAGCTATGAACTTTTGTCAATACTAAGTATTCCTAAGGTCATGCTCTTGTTCAGCTCTTTATTAAGTCCTTTCACAATATCCATTGGATGTCTGATGATTGACATTTTAGTTTTGGGAAAACAATGAATTAGTTGAAATTGGCTTTGATCTAGCTAACTGTGACTGCGTGTACTATTAAATTGATATTTTGTGTTTCTTGACAACATAAATATTAGCAGGAGACGCTTACCCTGCAAAAGCAGCCGGTCTCGTTTTTTTGTTTTTGAGTTCATTATGTACACTCATTTTGTGTTTGCTACCTTGATTTGTCTCTTTCTAATCGATTTCCTAGATTTGAACGAAAACTACTGCCGCCGTCTCAATTTAAATAAACAACTACAAAATGTAAAACCAAAGTGTATACTCAAATATCCTTGTCGTCATATATGTTCAGTTTCTTCTTTATCATGTGTATTGCACAACTAGATTCTGTTCGTACATCTTATTCCATTCGTAGCTTGATGAAAGTTGACAGAGACATATTATCTTCACTGAAATTACACTCGTGCAACAAATTATGGTATACAGTGACTGAAATTTGAGTAGTTCCAATCGGGCACCAATTCATGGTAAACAGTGACTGAAAAAAGCATATCACAAACAAATGCCAGGGTAAATTCAAAAAGGGGATGTTCATAAAAACTGACAAAATCAAACGTTATCAACCAACAGAACGATTGTAAAACAACTGTCATATTCCCGACTTGGTATAGGCATTTCACGAAGAAAATGGTTGGTAAAACCTGGTTTTATAGTTAACTTTGAAATTGTAATTTACAATCGGGCAACAATATATTGTAAATGGAAAGTAAATACCAGTATGAATGAAATAAGAAAAATATAAAATGGGTTTTAGACATAAATAACGAAGGATACTCGGCGCTTACAATTAAAACCTATATGTATAGCAAATGATATTTTTAATGATGAAATGTAAAATACAGGAAGATGTCGAAGTATCACTAGCTTATGTAATATAAGGTTCTTCCTTTTTACGAGATGCTTCCAGAATGTATTTCATGTTCATTTAATGTTTCATATCCTTTGCCTCTCTTTTACACCAGTTTTTGTTTCTCGGTATACAACATATTTACAGTGTCGCAATGCGCATGTTTATTGTTTTATACCAAGGGGGTTTCATCCCATGTTCCGTAAATAACATTTTGTGCGTATACCAACAACCATGCTTTTGGCATTCATTTCCAATGCTGATTGTACCCATTCTAATTCAGAATATCATACCCTGGTGTGAGAAAAATCCACCATAACATAGAGTGTCACATCACTGTAAATGGTCACAAGTCTCTTCGGTTATATTTTTTTTCAGTCAACGTTCTTTCTTTTATCACAAAGTTCTAAATTTACAGAAGTAGAATTGAGAATGGAAACGGGGAAAGCGTCAAAGAGGCAACAAGGTCTATTTCAATTGGTGGTAAATCTAAGGTTCATCAGGTCATTGAATGAAGCTCAATTATAGATTGTAAGACATATTTTGTGCACCTGAAAACAAACAAGGGTTGATAAGATTTGTAGGTGACTATGCACTCCCAAACTTCAATGATTTTTATTTGCAAGAACATGACGAAATATTTGAATTCCTAGCGGGATCTTTTCAAAATCTCTATAGACTGTCAATCAATTAAGTGCCTGCAAATCTTTTCACAAAAAATCTTAAGTTTATTCTTAAGATAAAATCTTACGAGTATCGTAAGAGAAATCTTAAGTCCTTTTCACTAAAGCAATCGTAAGATTTATTTTACACTTAAGAGAATTCGTAAGATATAATCTTAAGTTAAACTCTTACGTTTAACATTATGCATAGCAACATAGTTTCACTTTCGATACACCTGCGCAAACACCATTTCCGGCAAGCCGCCATATAAAAATATGTGAATTACACGACACACGCACCTGCTAAAAGATGCAATTTGAAGTATTTCTAATGTATGGCATGCTTGGAAAGGTATGTTATTTCGTGTTAAAATACACCTGTAATGAATTATTGATGTCTTATCTCCGACAACTAAATGTAATAATGTGAATTATAACTGAAGATGGTCTGCGAGTTTCATTGAGAATTTATGAATGAATGGATTTAATCACGTCTGCTCAGGATTTTTCTTGATCGTCTCTTTATATCGTTTGTGCACCTTTGTAGTTTATAAAATGTAGGTGCCATTTGATATATAAGGATAGATCTTAATAATCAACAAAGAAAGCCGGTTGAAAGTTCGTCTGCTGCATGTGCATTGTAACTTCAACAAAACGTCAAAAGACAACATTAAAAACGTCAACAAACTTGCAAAGTACATTTTGTAATGGAGCAACCTTCCAAAAGGAAACCAAATTGGACAGAGGCAGAGCTGGATGCTCTTTCCAAAGGGGTTGCAGAAAACATTAATATGCTAAAGGGGAAATTTTCTCTATCAGTCACTAATGACTTTAAAAACCGATGTTGGGCAACAATAACCCAGAGGTAAGTACACCAACCATGCTAACCCATTGACTTGGACCTGAAAATGAACATCATGATTAATGCCGTATGCATTATGCATTTATAACATTGTAAAAATAATATCAGAAAACCTCTTCAAACTAAAATTTGTAACCTCAAATTTGTTATTAGTTGTATCATTATTGTTTTTAATTTCAAGGATCCCAGAATCATGAGAATATCTTTTATCATAAAAATTCAAGTAACAGTTAATTTATACTAAACCATATATCTTTTCAATAAGAGCTGTACCAAACTTTATCTTACTGAGAGTGCATGTACATCATAACCATGATAACATGTACTAAACATTCTTAACCAAATTTCTTGGCTATCAAAAAGATTTTTTATTAAAGCCAAATAAAAATATATATTCATGTATGTGTGGTTTTAGGTACCCTACCTTCCCTACTTTTTAGGCTTAATAATAGCCTACCCTAAAAACAAATTTGCCTACCTACTTAGCCTAATCATTTTGGATGTTTTTATACGCCCGTTTACATGACATATTATGGTATACAGTTGACTGTCCGTCAGTCCGTCCGTCGTCGTCAACATGTCGGACATTAATTCAAAAACGCTTTAACAAATATGCATGAAACTTTGATGAATTGTTTATATCTATTGACTTGAGTTCCCTTTAATTTTTTATAAATTTCAGATTTACCATTTCTGAGTTTTGGGGTTTTATTCATTAAAAAAGGGGGGAATTTCCGTTTTTCGGACAATAACTAAAAAACAATTTCAGCAATTTGCATGAAACTTTTGTGAATTATTCATAACTAATAAAGTGAGCTCCCTTTTGTTTTTTTTTATAAATTTCGCATTTACCTTTCCGAGTTTTGGGGTTTATTCATTAAAAAAGGGGGATTTTCCAGTTTTCAGACAATAACTCAAAAAAAAATTCACCAATTTGCATGAAACTTTTGTGAATTGTTCATATCTCTTGACGTGAGCTCCCTTTCGTTTTCATATATTTTCATGACAACAATATGAAAAAAAGGTAAACATGCCAATTTTTATAGGATAAATGCAGCAAATCCTTCTGCTGTCAGCAGAGGTGTAGCTGATGTTAAAAAAAAGTGGCAGGACCTTCAGAGCATTGGGAAGAAGAAAGAAGCTGCCAGAAGGAGGAGTCTTAATGCCACAGGAGGAGGACCATCTCCTGAGGATACTACAAAGTCCTGGGAAAAAGCTGTTAGTATTGTTTTTTTACTAAATCTTATCACTTTAATCATGTCAAATGAGGTGCTCACTTTATACCGAAAAAACAAATTATTCTTTAATTTCTTGTTATAGTGACTTCTTGCTTTAGAATAGAATGTTAGTAGGCTAGCAGACAATAAACAGAATAATGTCTGCCAATTTACACATTTTTATGTACACATATGTGTTCCCTTTTGTTTGGATTTATCATATGCAATTACATTATGCAGGAATTTTCCTGCCATGTTCAGGAAAGCCAATTGTCATTTCTTCATCATGTCAATCAATGCATTAAAAGAATATACATCATATAAATACAAATTAAATTTGCTTATTTTAGATCATTTCAACATTTACTAATACGCAGTTAGAAGGAATTGCAGGAGGGGAGGACACCAGCTCTGTTAGTCCCTGTGAGCCTTTAAGTGAAAGTGGTATTTATTATAATTCCATTTTTTGCATAATGTACGAATAAATACACAGCATGCCCATATAAGATGATACATGATTACATATACATGAACCAGTCACATTCAGATCGAAAAATTAGGTCATGACTAACTGCTGGTAAAATTTTATAAATGTTTCATATTAAAGTTTAAAAAAAAAAAAAATTATCATAAGTATTTTGCAGATAAGAGATATTAACTGTTTTAACACTTTTGATCCTACAATCAGCTAACTATTGAACAAATAACCGATACACAAATAGTTGTTTGCTTTATTTGTACAAATAAGGTCAAACAAAAAATGATGTGTGTGTTACTATACCCCTACCTACCCTAATGCTCTCATATCAGATGTAAATTGCAGGATAAAAACAATATATGTACATTGACAAGCAAGCCTTGCTTTTCGTCTTGTTTCTATAGCCATTACAAATAAATTTCATATTTTCCGATAATGTACATATATATATTATATTTTTGTGTTTCATTCCCAATTGAAATCAATGTGGATTTGTCTATCTTTTGCTAAATTATAAATCGTAGCAGTATATCATGTATATGGATTTCAGTTATTGTACTTAATGTACTTAATAAGAAATAGGCCAATGTAAAAACTGTTTATAGTGTACCAAATTGCAACATGTCTTACTCCATTCAACTTTTTCAGTTATCAGTTTGAACATAGAAAGTGAAGGACTATCAGAAATAACAGTGGCTGAAGATAATGCAGAAACAACAGACTGTGCAGAAGGTATTTTAATTAATCCTGTAATTAGCCGTCTATTGTACAAGAAAAATTATGCTGTATTTGTATAGTATGTAAATTATATATTATATGCAAATTATACATTCAGCCTTGCCCACACAGTTTTTTGCAAGTTATACACTGTCCACACCATGAATTTAATTATCTTTTTGGAAAATTTTAAGTTTTAGTATTTCCTAGGGTATATAAATATTATCTATGACATTAACAATACGTTTCCCTAAAATCTACACCTATGCATGTTGTGGCAAATGCTGTATAATGTATACTCCATTCATCATTTTCACAATTATAGTTACAAAAAATTAATTAATACCCAGTGACTCAAAATTATTTCCTCAGCATACTTTGTAACATTACAATACAAGTGGAACAAATTCATACTTTTCATAAGAGGTAACAAAAGATTGGTGGTTGTTAAATTTTTGTCAAATGAATCAAGACTACACAAAACAATATTGTCAATATCGACATGTATCATAAATGATTTAAATATTTAAGTCACAATTCTTGTATAGTAATTTGTATTATAAACACAGAATGGATTAAACATAAAAAAAGGTCAAGGAGTAGGGGCAATTAGGCCCTTATTTGGCCCAAATATTACTGCAAATTTAAAAGTTATCCTACATATTCTTAAATTTGTCCTAACTAGACTAAGGTTCGAGGTATTCAGAAAATAAAAACAAATTTGACATTGATCGAGTAACCATGGTAACAAACCATGACAAAATTCTTATATTTTGTAAAATTTCTTGATTTTCCATGTTTTTCAATTTTTAAATATATTTTAGATTGGCAAAGTATGTGCGCATCCAAGAAACAACTTTATATTTGGTGAGATTATGTCAATAGTTATAAAAAAGCTTCTCTTAAATTATTTTGTTCTTCTTGTCTGCGCATGATGTCTCCACAATAGAAATAACGATGGAAAACTGCTTAAATTCTGTATTTTGCATCGTTTTCATGAAAACGGTACATATTATGACGTAATTGTGACGTCATCAGATAAAAAATCTTATGTTTTTCATTTATATCATTTTTGACTCTATGCATTTTCTAACATTATGTGCCTATTTGGTATAGTTGTCAAACATTTTATTTTCTTGGGCCAAAACCGGGCCATTATGCCCCTACTCCAATAATGTATCTTTCTTAACTGAATTAATAAGAAATGACAATTTCCAACAGGGGAATCCTCCAAAGTCTTTAGTGAGCCGAAAGAGAAACCAAGCAAAAAGAGAGGTAAGTATTGTAAACTGAACATCTAGATCTAGGTAGTGGTCAGGGGAATTACTGAAATAAGTGATTTAAAAATCAATTATTCAAGTAGCAGATTCGAAATTTTATCACAAATTGTGATTTTGTATTTTTACCAAAATTTCAAACATATAGGTTTAGATTATACCTTATTAGTAGTAAAATTGGAAAAATGAACCTATTCTTCTTTTAAATAGCAAAGTTTATGCCTTTGATGCAATCATTTAGCTATATTTTCTATATTTGTTGAAAAAATGCTATATCTGATGAGTTAAGCCTCTTTCAACTGATTTTTATAATTCGTTCTTATGTTGTACTGTTACACCACTGTCCCAGGTTAGGTTGGGATCCCGCTAACATGTTTAACCCAGCCACATTCTGTATGTATGTGCATGTCCCAAGTCAGGAACCTGTAATTCAGTGGTTGTCGTTTGTTTATGTGTTACATATTTGTTTTTCGTTTATTTTTTGTAAATAAATAAGGCCGTTAGTTTTCTCCTTTGAATTGCTTTACATTGTCATTTAGGGGCCTTTTATAGCTGACTGTGCGGTTTGGGCTTTGCTCATTGTTGAAGGCCGTACGGTGACCTATAGTTGTTAATTTCTGTGTCATTTGGTCTCTTGTGGAGAGTTGTCTCATTGGCAATCATACCACATCTTCTTTTTTATATATAGTGGGAGTAATTTTCGTGCAATATTCAGGGTTTCATCATAAAGATTATGTAATAAAATTTTACTGTTCGCGATCAAAATTTAACTGTTTGGGAGTGTTGAAATTAGTGGGGGTCATTTAAATAATAATACTTATTAAAAGAAGTGATTTATTTACACACAATAAGTTATTTAAAAAATCATTATTTTAATTCATATATTTCCAGCTTTTAACATGTATTGTTTAATCATAGAATTTCCTTCCTCATTTTAAAGTCTCCTTTCATTACATACATTGACCTGGCTTAAACGTAGACCCCAAAAAGGTCCCAAAATTGAACTGGTACTCTATTTTTATTAACATTACCTTCACGAAAGACTGACACAAGATTATTAAAGATTTCCTTTCTACAAGAACACAATAGTACAAGATAATAAAAAGATATTTATAGGTTATTATAGCATGCAGTATTTGAAAGTGGTTTTGAATATAGAATCAACATTTAAAAATTATTAATGAATCAGTATTGTATATTCATGATTCTAATGCAACATCGTTTGTAACGTTCATTTTTTATTGGATAATGTCACCAATTTACATGGCATCAATTCACAATTGATGCTATGAAAATATTCGCGCAAGCGCAGACGACGTATGATTTGACGTTGTTTTCTGTCAGTTTCATTAGAATGGAGATAACAATATTGTATTTTAAGCAGTCGCAAATTAAGTTTATTGGCAACACGTTTTTAAAATACAATACAGTTATCTCCTAAATTTAGTCTTTCATTGGGACTTTTGTTTATTATTGTAGTACCTGTATATTTTTTGTTGGAAAAGTAGTACTTCACAAGCTGAAGACCATTACTTCATGTTGGAGGAAATGAAATTGCAGAGAGTTGAACTATATAGGATGAAGAAAATAAAAATAATGGAGGAAATGCTGGTATTAAAGAAAAGATCCACCAAGGCATTAGAGGAAATAAGAGATAGCATAAAGGCAGACCAAGGACCATTATGTTTATCACCAATCATTAAAATTCATGAAATGTAACAATCATTTTTCACTTCAGCTAAAATCTTTGAATGAGTTGTGCTCTAATTCGATTTCCTTCATTAGGTTGGTCTTGTTGTAGTATATGTTGATGGTGCTGTATTTGCAGTTGGTTTTCTCCATCTGGTACTGGTATTCCTTCTTTTAATGCCTTGTTGTTTAACCTGAAACAAGCTCCAATCATCTTACAGGATTTTGGTGGATTAAATTGAAGGCTACCTCCAGTTTTATGAAGACATCTGCAATATACAATGAAATAGAGATTTCTTTTTTTCAATAAATCAATATATATATTTATATGTATGATTCAGAAACTGTGCAGGGCAAGGCAGAATATGATTAAGCACATAAATAAGAAAACAGTTATATTATGATATTAACAAATGGTCTTCAACAATAAAATGCTCACCGAACTGTCCATATATGACAGCTTGAAACTGTCTCGTTCTGTCAGAGCAGCCTTAAATATAAGTTCTTGTATCTATTTTTAATATCCTTTTGGTGAAATAGTATGTTTTCATGTCATTCTGTATGTATACATCCTGGCTTTAAAGGTTTAGTCCGTTTCCTTGCCTGATAAAGGTAAATCAGGAAAAGCGCTTTCAACACAAATGTTCATTGTCCTTTGACCTCATTTTCATGGTTCAGTGACTCCTTGAAATAAAATTAGAGATCTTTTTGTTATGTGAATTTCTCACTTATTATGAGTAGTAGGATAACTATATTTGGTATTTAGGTTCCTTGCAACGTCAACATGTGCATTTGACAGGGTTCACCTGACCTTGATCTCATTTCATTGATCTGTGATCAAGGTTAAAGTTGAGTGATTAGTTCCATTTATCAGATAATATAAGCAGTGAGTCAACAATATTTGGTGTTTGGAATGAATGTGAAGGGCAAAACAGGCAAGTTATGTCAGCATGTGCACTTTTGTTAAGTTAATTCAAATTATATATATATTTATAAAAAGACTTAGTTTACCTGAAACGAGCCTTCAGTACACCAAAGGCCCTTTCAACAGTGTTTCTGGTTTTACAGTGAGCCTTGTTATAACGAATTTCTTTCTCAGATTGTGGGTTCAACAGAGGAGTCATAAGCCATTTCTTCAAAGGATAGCCAGAATCCCCTAGTAGCCACCCATTCATGTCTTCCATTATCTGTGGCATACTGGAATTGCTCAATATAAACACATCATGAGTCGCTCCTGGCCATTTCACTACTTTGTTTGTGAACCTATAATAAGTCATGCCGATAATAATGATATTGCAAGAATGAAATATTGTAAATTCAGAAATTATTGCGATATTTTTATTATTGCGAAAAATGCGACAGGGTTATAATCGCAATAATTTAAACTTGCATTTTGAAATTTTTTATATGAATTAAACAGGATTTTTCTCAATATCGCAAAAAATTAAATCGCATTTTAGTCAAAAATGACAATATCGCAATAATAAATGCACGCATAATTTCTGAATTTAAAGTAACTACAATCTGAAATGATTGGACTAGTGATTGCAGATTTTCTTATAATTTTGACAATTTCCTGATTTGTTTTTCCATAACTATGGTGCTTTTCAGCTGATAAATATTAAGGCAATATTCATACACAAAATGATATTCTACAGCAATTTTTTTCTGCATTCACCCAATTTGGACTAACAACTTAAATTTAATTTTTTTGTGGAGAAATAATTGTAAAACTGTACAGGACAGTCATTACTTTCATTCTTGACACATTTGATTATTTTTATATGAAAATAGTATTAAAATGGCTACAAAAAAGAACAAGAATGCAAGCCTCTTTAGAAACAAAAGTCTCGAGTTACATAGTTGTTAATACGAATATGTTATTATATTTTGTTCAATCTTCTAATTTATATGGAAAAAATGGACTTTATGCATCTGTTTAGTATGTATCAGTCGACCATACCTCAAATCTGCGTCAGCAATAGCCTGCACATTTATGGCATGGAATTGCTTCCTGCAAACAAAGTTGGGCTCATCAACACCTGCCATGCCTTGTATGGGAATCAGCGTGCCATCTTTTGCTCCAAGCACGTTTGGGAATCCACAAATCTGATAGAATTTCTCCTTGATGTCCCGCTGCTGGGCTGGATCAGTAGGGAATCTGATGTTGTGCATTCTGCTGCATATGGCGTCACATACTGTGTGTACAATTCTAGAAGAAGACGTAATTGATATGCCATGTATATCTGCAACCTCAGATAAGTAGTCTCCTTTAGCAAGTATTCTAAGTGTTGTCATTACCTGTGGAAGAACAGAAATAATATGCACTAACAATTATTATTACAGCACTTAATGCAATTTTCAAATTTTAAGTATCTCGAATACTGACATGTCAGCAAGCACCCCCACTTGCACAATTCTTGTATAAGCATATTACATATTTGCTTACTTTTTGTTGAAATGGCAGCAAGAACGATGTTGATGTAAGGAGCGACACAGAATTATTGACAGACTTATGGATAGACATGCATACATGTGTAAACAGACGAACGGACAGAAAGAATGATTAAAAATAACATTAGACTATTTGATTTTATTATTCAATTATGCATTCAATTAAAGGCCTTCAACACTATGAGACAAATCCATATCGTATAATCAGCTATATACATGTATACTAGTAGCTTAGACGCATAGAGACCGCACATTGCATGGACTAACGGGCTGTCGGATTACAGGACTATATGATTGTGGGATTATCGGACTGTCGGACTGTATGATTATAGTACTGTCGGACTATATGATTGTGTGATTAAAGGATTGTCGGACTATACCATTGTGGGATTAAAGGACTGTCGGACTATATGATTTTCGGATTATAGGACTGTTGGACTATATGATTGTTGGATTATAGGAATGTCAAACTGTATGGTTTTTTCTATTGAAAGACTGTCAAACTATATATTATTATCGATTATAGGACCTTCGGACTATATGATTTGGGGATCAAAGGACTATCGGACTGTACCATTGTGTGATTAAATGGCGTTCGGACTTTTTGATTATCGAATTATAGGACTGTCGGACTATATGATAATCGGATTATAGGACTGTCAGATAATATGATTATCGGATTATAGGACTGTCGGACTATATGATCGCGTGATTAAAGGACTGTCGGACTATATGATCGCGTGATTAAAGGACTATCGGACTGTACCATTGTGTGATTAAAGGGCGTTCGGACTTTTTGATTATCGGATTATAGGACTGTCGGACTATATGATAATCGGATTATAGGACTGTCGGACTATATTATTATCGGTTTATAGGACTATCAGATAATATGATTATCGGATTATAGGACTGTCGGACTATATTATTATCGGTTTATAGGACTATCAGATAATATGATTATCGGATTATAGGACTGTCGGACTATATTATTATCGGATTATAGGACTGTCGGACTATATTATTATCGGATTATAGGACTGTCGGACTATATGATTATCGGATTATAGGACTGTCAGACTGTATGGTTTTTTCTATTGATAGACTGTCATACTATACATTATTATCGATTATAGGACTGTCGGACTACATGATTGTGGAATTAAAGGACTATCAGACTGTACCATTGTGTGATTAAAGGGCGTTTGTACTTTTTGATTATCGGATTATTGGACTGTCGGACTATATGATAATCGGATTATAAGACTGTCGGACTATATTATTATCGGTTTATAGGACTTTCAGATAATATGATTATCGGATTAAAGGACTGTTGAATTATATGATCGCGTGATTAAAGGACTGTCGGACTATATTATTATCGGATTATAGGACTGTCGGACTATATGATTATCGGATTATAGGACTGTCAGACTGTATGGTTTTTTCTATTGATAGACTGTCAGACTATATATTATTATCGATTATAGGACTGTCGGACTATATGATTGTGGGATTTAAGGACTATCGGACTGTACCATTGTGTGATTAAAGGGCGTTTGGACTTTTTGATTATCGGATTATAGGACTGTCGGACCATATGATAATCGGATTATAAGACTGTCGGACTATATTATTATCGGTTTATAGGACTGTGAGATAATATGATTATCGGATTATAGGACTGTCGGACTGTATTATTATCGGATTATTGGACTGTCGGACTATATTATTATCGGATTATAGGACTGTCGGACTATATGATTATCGGATTATAGGACTGTCAGACTGTATGGTTTTTTCTATTGATAGACTGTCAAACTATATATTATTATCGATTATAGGACCGTCGGACTATATGATTTGGGGATTAAAGAACTATCGGACTGTACCATTGTGTGATTAAAGGGCGTTCGGACTTTTTGATTATCGGATTATAGGACTGTCGGACTATATGATAATCGGATTTTAGGACTGTCGGACTATATTATTATCGGTTTATAGGACTATCAGATAATATGATTATGGGATTATAGGACTGTCGAACTATATTATTATCGGATTATAGGACTGTCGGACTATATGATAATGGGATTATTTGACTGCCAGACTATATCATTATCGCTTTATAGAACTGTCAGACTATGATTGTTGGAATATAAGACTATCAGACTATATAATTGCGGGTTTAAAGGACGTTCAGACTTTAAGATTATCAGATTATAGGACTGTCGGACTATAGGATTGTGTGAGAAAAGGATTGTCGGAATATACCATTGTGGGATTAAAGGACTGTCGGACTATATGATTATCGGATTATAGGACTGTCGGACTATATTATTATCGGATTATAAGACTGTCGGACTATATGATTATCGGATTATAGGACTGTCAGACTGTATGGTTTTTTCTATTGATAGACTGTCAGACTATATATTATTATCGATTATAGGACTGTCAGACTATATGATTGTGGGATTAAAGGACTATCGGACTGTACCATTGTGTGAATAAAGGGCGTTTGGACTTTTTGATTATCGGATTATAGGACTGTCGGACTATACGATAATCGGATTATAAGACTGTCGGACTATATTATTATCGGTTTATAGGACTGTCAGATAATATGATTATCGGATTATAGGACTGTCGGACTATAAGATCGCGTGATTAAAGAACCGTCGGACTATATGATCGCGTGATTAAAGGACTATCGGACTGTACCATTGTGTGATTAAAGGGCGTTCGGACTTTTTGATTATCGGATTATTGGACCGTCGGACTATATGATATTCGGATTATAGGACTGTCGGACTATATTATTATCGGTTTATAGGACTATCAGATAATATGATTATGGGATTATAGGACTGTCGGACTATATTATTATCGGATTATAGGACTGTCGGACTATATGATAATGGGATTATTTGACTGCCAGACTATATCATTATCGCTTTATAGAACTGTCAGACTATGATTGTTGGAATATAAGACTGTTGGACTATATAATTGCGGGTTTAAAGGACGTTCAGACTTTAAGATTATCGGATTATAGGACTGTCGGACTATATTATTATCGGTTTATAGGACTGTCAGATAATATGATTATCGGATTATAGGACTGTCGGACTATATGATCGCATGATTAAAGGACTGTCGGACTATATGATAGCGTCATTAAAGGACTGTCGGACTTTAGCATTGTGGGATTAAAAGAATGTCGGACTACATGAGTATCGGTTTATACGACTGTTGGACTATATGATTATCGAATTATAGGATTGTCGTATTATAAGTCTGAATCACAGTGACAGCTAATAGCAAAATACTAATGTTTGAAAGAATTATGTTATTATTTTAGACTTAATCGTAGCTAATGCTCTTTTCATGGAAGTGTCGACGTGTTTTTTTTTGTTTTTTTTTTTTTTTCTTTTTATGTCCTACATATACTTTTGGTTCTACGGATTTTTGTGAATAGTTTTATTTTTCCCGTAATTGTTCTTCATATGAGAGGACTAAATCTTGTTTTCTATTTGCATAAATGTAAGATAATGCAAACCGTTAGTATTAAGTACGCTTTATTACATTGCAACTCCAAAGGAAATGCGTGTACGGGTTTCCATCTGTTCGTCCATGTTTTTTCAAGTCATAACAATATTTCAGGAATTGTGTTTTAAATTTAGTTGTGTTTCTTTTTGTCTTATACCTTTTTTTATTTGTATTTCTATTGTTTTGTTTTGTTCTATTTCTTATCTTAAGTTTATTTTGTCATTTATTTGTGTGGTTTTCTATGGAGGTTAGTTATATTTTGATTTTCTGTATGGTAGAATCTATAGTGTGTAGTTATTACTGCATGTGTATTTTCTATGACATATATAAATAATATCAATCTTTATTGTGGTAAAGCTATTAAAACAAAACTTGTGACAAACAAAATACAATCAACAAAAATTTGACACGGACTTATAAATAAATTGACATTCACATTTTTGCTGCACCTATATTTATTGGTACCGAGTCGGGATTAGTTACACTTAATTTGTACTTCGTAAAATAGCGGACGTGATAGAGAGCACATATTTTGAAAACAAAGAAAGATAGAAGAAGGGGGATTGTATTTTTTCTGTAAGTTTCTCACCTGAATATGGGGTGGAATTGCATGTGATCTGACAGTTGGCCTTTCAATCAAGTCTCTGACGGTGTCCGTCAATTCCATTATGCAGTGTCTTGGAAAGCGATAACGGGCTATCAGTTGATCATCATTCAATGAATCAAGATCATCAGATCTATCGCGAAAAACGCGTTCTCTACGAATAGCTCTTCTGTTGATGAAATTAAACAGTATCAATCCAGCCATTTTGTTTCTAAAGAGATACGTGATACTTACGATTCTTAAACAAAATCTTAAGAGTAAAATCTTCACTTAAGAGAGGCCGATGGCACACGTAAAGTTACGATAGTTTTTACTCTTACGATTTACTTAAGATTTTTTGTGAAAAACCTAAAAATCTTAAGATTACTCTTAAGAGTAAAATTTATCTTAAGATTTTTTGTGAAAAGAGTCGCTGTTCTGTAAGTGACCGGAGAGGCAGATATAATAATTATTCTGCCGTCTCTGTTAGTTAATGAACAGATGGTCAGAAGTTATTCTAGGGATCGCATTATATTAAAATCATCAGACACTTATGTTTTATTTTTAACAAGGTCATTTCCTCAGATGTCAAACATGATGCATTGTGGTTGACGCAAGTTAAGACTGGAAGCGATTCTTCAACCATAGACGCAAGTTCAGACTGGACGCGTTTTCTCAAACCAAAGATGCAAGACGCTTTCTACATAAG